ACGGGATCCAAAAAGAGATTAAAACATATTCCATTGTAATGGAGTCTAATTGTTGGACATGGAATACAATAAATGACAGAGTACAGGTTATTATTTGACGCTGCATTTCATGAGCAGGAATTAATGATGATACACATAAAGATGCTCTGCATGACATTCACAAGACTGAAGGAATACTTGCATTGCAATTTAATGTCAAATACTGTTTCGGTTTGTAGTCAAAAAGGTTATTTAGTAAAGTTTGGGAAAGTTTGTCAAGTCATGTACTGTAGGAATACACAAATTAAGAAATATAACTAAGACAACTTATACTCATATAGCACCAGAAGCTCCCAATGGTAAACAAATCAGTTACTAAAGCCAATGATGTCTTTTCACTAGGTAAAATAATTAAGATTATTGGTGAGCAGATAGGAAATTAGGAATCTTCTTCTCCTTCACCATTTTTAAGACCAAGTCTTCTGGGAAATTAGCCAATCTTGCAACCCTTAATGGTCAAAAACAAGTAAGACAGGTTTTTAATTAATCAATTAATCATACTAATAAAATAACATTTTTCAGTCGATAATGTATAGTTAAGCTTGTGAAACAGTTTTTTTACCAGCTAGCAACCATTCCTATATTACAATGTCCCACGGTATAATATAACCAACACTATTTTTATATTATGGAATTATAGCACACGAGTCATATAAGTGGTGAATGCTATGCATATTTTATTCCATTTGCTTATATTGTTTGTGCAGGTTTATTTGTGGTATCGTTTGTGCAGGTTTATTTGTGGTATTGCAATTCTGCAGTAAAGTATATTATATTTCCAATGTTCATAGGACTGCTGCAGTATTTCTCAGTATATACTCAGCATTGTTCCTGCAATTGCAACTTAATCAATCAGCATAATTATATTCAACTTACAGTAGCTTAAACATTTTTAACTTGAAAAAAACATATAGTCCAGCATGAACTTCTACAGTAAACTGTCAAAATTTTTCATCTTTGGCGGCTGATCGTAAAGATTCTATGTTTCGGCAATCAGTTCATGATCTAATCTTTGATAATAGATACAGTTCCTAAGATGTCATGCATATCCTGGTGACGTTCTACAGCATATAATTATGCAACATCATCGCTCTGATTAATTATAAATTAATCAGTATATCAGCATATATGGAATTTTAAACATTAATTGTTAAATACATGTAACTTAAAAATCACAGTCTGGCATGAACGTCTAAGCTGTTAAGATTGTTCATCTTTGGGCAGCTGGTTGTTAAGATTTGATGTCTTTTGGCAGTCAGTTCATTAGCTATTCTGTGCTAAATACAGTTCAGTATATATAACTAACAAAACACAGTCTGGTGTGGACTTCTAAGCTGTTAAGATTTTTCATCTTTGGGCAGCTGGTTGTTAAGATTCATAATCTTTCGGCAATCAGTTCACTAGCCATTCAGTGGTAAATATTTAAAGTTCAATGTTCATAATCATGCTACCGATGTTGTACAGTATACATGCAACATCATTGCTCCAAATCTAATTATTTGCAAATGAATCAGTATATCAGGCTATCAGCATGAAAGAAAGGTGCAACTTTAAAAACTTTAATTGCCAATATTTATAGGTGGTGTTTACAAAATGGTATTGCATGTTTGTGCAGGTTTATTTGTGGTATTGCAATTCTGCAGTAAAGTATTTTATATTTCCAATGTTCATAGGACTGCTGCAGTATTTCTCAGTATATACTCAGCATTGTTCCTGTAATTGCAACTTAATCAATCAGCATAATTATATTCAACTTACAGTAGTTTAAACATTTTTAACTTGAAAAAACATATAGTCCAGCATGAACTTCTACAGTAAACTGTCAAAATTTTTCATCTTTGCGGCTGATCGTAAAGATTCTATGTTTTGGCAATCAGTTCATTATCTAATATTTGATAATAGATACAGTTCTTAAGATGTCATGCATATATTCTGGTGACGTTCTACAGTATATAGGCCTAATTATGCAACATCATTGCTCTGATTAATTACAAATTAATCAGTATATCAGCATATATGGAATTTTAAACATTGATTGTTAAATACATGTAACTTAAAAATCACAGTTCTTGTTATATGGAATCATATTGTGTCGCACTATTTCCTGTATAAATATCAACTAAATAAGTTTTACAAATTGCTATATTTATATTAATAAAATACAAAAAAGTTGTGTTGAGTCCAACCATAAAAGCGTTGGCCTCGCACTATTGTGTGTTGTGTTTGAAAACTACAGTATGATAAAATATGACAGTCAGGGAAATGCAAACTAGCTGGCACAGTACGTACAAGTTAAGGACCGCATATAATATACTGTATAACTTAACAAACACATTCAGGCAGTATAGGTTAGGGACACTAAATATTATATAACATAGCACAGTCGGGGGCAGACTTCTAAGCAGTTAAGATTTTTCATCTTTGGGCAGCTGATTTTTAAGATATTTTTACATCTTTTGGGAATCAGTTCACTAGCCATTAATGAATACTTAAAATGTCAATGTAATTATGCTACTGATGTTGTATAGTATACATGAAACATTATTGCAGCTCTAATTATTTGCAAATGAATCTGTTTATGTAGGTATTAGCATAAAACAGAGTGAGACTTGAATTTATAGGTGGTGCTTACATGCAATACAGTAGCTAATAATCAAGACCCTTTAAATGGCAATGCACCCAGATGCACCCTACTTTATTATTCTACTCTGTCTAACGCCAGACGATTTTACTCATGAGGGAGAATGCTATCATTCAAACCATGATGAATAATAATATGTCATGAAGTTGAGACAAAGGATTTGTGCACGGTGAGCTAGGTACAGTTCATCATCAAACAAAGGTCTTCTTTTTTCAATTTCTGGCTTTGAAGTTTGCCAGGATTCTCAACTATCTTGAGAGACTATGATCACACTGAAGCCTCTGTGTGATATGTTTTTAAAAATGTTACAGTAAAACTGGATGTTCTCTTGCAAGCAACATTGCAATATTAATAATAATGTTAAAATAATAAAAAATTTTATAGCATACATTGCTGTTCTATATTGCAATTTTGATAGGCAGATTGCTCTGAGGAATTTGCAAACGACATAAACAAATTGCAAGCACCAATCCAGTTGCTCGGACTATTTGTTTGGCTTCCATCTTTCTTATAATCCAATCAGAGGCTTTGTTTACAAATCTTTTGTGAATTTCATCTTGCAATTTGTTTGCGTTGGTTGCAAATTGCTCAGAGCAACCTAAAACTGTCTGTACCAGTGTGGGTAGTACCAATGTAAAATTGCTGTGCTGAGTAGTCATATTACCACCTGAAATAAACAAGCAGAAACTCAACGTTTCAAGCAAGGGCCCTAGTAGTAACTAAGCAAGGGCCTTTGCTCCAAACATCGAGTTTCTGCTTGTTTATTTCAGGTTGTATTATATTACCACTCAGCTCAAAATTGCAATGTTGCACGCAAGCGAACACCCGGTTTGACTGTAGGAATGAAATGCTTCACTAACATTTTGGAGAGGGTCTAAGAATTTTTTTTTGCTTAGGTGTGGGGACAGAAGGGGGGGGGGGCTTTGAGAATTCTATTTAAATTTTCTGCAGAGTTCCTCATCGAGCCCCCTGAGCAGTAAATAATCAGCGGCCACTTAGTACAATTTAGTAGAATTTATAATTAGTACCATCATAGAATAGGAAATGAAGGCAACATATAGTAGTGGCCTAATGGGCAAGGCATGCACAACCTCTCAATTTGATGACAGTTTAGTGTTTTAATACTGCCAAGAATACTGGTGATCAAAGTCAACATGCAAAATTTAAAATTTCACACTCGAGTTGCCCTTCTATTTCCTATTCTATGGTGCCAGCCTTTTGGTCAATTATTAATATTTTGTATATCAACATACCAGCTGTGAGCTGCTGACAACGCTGTCATCAGCCATCACGTACGTTTTGATATTTGACGAAATTTCAACAATTCCAGGGTTTATATATTTGTATTTAAGGCAATCTGCAATTCCACCACATATAGCACCGTTCAATATCGTCATATAATAATTTTATTCTGTAAAATAATGCCTTCCCCCTTTCAAACACTGGGACAAATTCTTGACAAATTTGCAGGTGAGTGATATTTAATAAACTGATTATTACCAATTTTACAATTTGCGCGCCGCAATTTTATATCGTCAATAATGTCGCCAAAATGTCGTGAAGGAAATTAGCCATTACGAAAATTTGAAATTTCCATTCAAGATAATTTTCATTCATTACTGACTCAAGATATACTTCTGCTAGTATTGTCTATTCCGTCCGAGCTCTGTCTGGACCGTGTATATGTAAATATCTATAACCCTTACGCCTAGCGATGTACGTAAATTTATATTATTTTTTTCAATATTTATTCATTTACCGTAAATTTTGAGATAAGTTCAGGGGCATACAGCGCACTCAGATTTATATAAATTAGCATGACATGATGACATAGAAAGTATTAAAAAACCAAAATATCGTCGAGTACTCGAGTCAACAAACAATCGTTTAGTCAACAAACCAAGTAGAATCCCAATTCTCGATAACAGCCAGACATTTGCAGTATCACTAGGAAGCAAGTACTCTGATGCGCAGTTTAGCAAAACTTAGCTATATAATCACAATCACTACACATATTTGACCAAAATAATATCTTGATTATTTAATATCGACACAAAATCACTTAATAATGTACGCAAGTGTGAATACTATGCCTTGAAAAATATTCACACAATATTCAAACGTATTCTAGATGAGAATATGATGTGCGTTTTATTCTAAGGTATTCACATCTGAATACTACTTATATTCCGAGGATATTCGCAGTGAATATCAGTGAATACGTGCGAATATTCATCATATTCAAATTGATATTCACACGTATTCACATCTGAATACTTGGCTTTTCATGCAGTGATGGCAGAGGGATGCCTTTCGCCACATGAACGACCACAAAGTGGATTATCCTTCCTTCTCTGAATTCGTTAGCTTCATTGAGCTAGTTTCCAGAGAAAAGAATGACCCAAACTTGTGTTTAAACGCCCTCGAAGGTGACCGGCCAGGCGAGAGAAATCGTGATAGACCGGGACAGTCATATAAGACTGCCATACCAGATGCCGGCCAGGGGACCAAATCCCCCCCGACCCCAGTCGTTGGTGTGTAGTTCACCGGAGACCACACCCCCTTAACCAATGCCGTGCCTTCCGAGCCAAACCGATCGACCAACAAAAAATTTGTTGAAGCAATACGGTATATGTTACCGTTGCGTTGCTTCAAGTAGTCACATAGCAAAGGACGGTAAGACTCCAGTCAAGTGAATCGAATGTCATAGTGATAAACACATATCAGCCCTTCATGGAGGAAGACCACCGGCATTAGGAAAGCCAAACGAAAGCAAGGAAAACACACTAATTGGGAATATTGGAACACCACCAAAGCCGGAGGAAGTTAAAGGTCACGGCGAGGAGACCGCTAAAGTAAATACTAAATGTATTGATGTTTGCGGACAACAATCGGGAGGAAAATCTTGTGCCAAAATATGTCTGGCTCACGTTTTTGTCCATGGTCAAACGGAGACTAAGATACGAGCCTACGTCGTCATTGACGACCAAAGTAACTGTTCGTTGGGCAAATCAGTGTTGTTTGATCAATTAAATCTGCGGGGAGAGCCATTCACTTACACACTACAGACGTGTGCAGGACAGAGCGAGGTCAAGGGACGACGAGCAAAGCGTGTCATGATTTAATCATTGGATGGAAGTAAGGTATATCCCCTTCCAAATTTGGTTGAGTGCAACGCCATACCGGAGGATAAGAAAGAAATTCCCACACCACAGGTTATTCTTTAGTGCACCGTCACCTCCAGTCCATCGCTGATAAGATTCCCGATATCGAAGACGATGTAGATATCTTGTTACTCGTTGGTAGAGATGTACCACAGTGACATAAGGTACATGCATCTCGAAACGGCAGGGTAACGTTCACTGGGCCCTGCAGCGCTTAGACCTTCGATCCTTCACAGCCATGTGAAAGAATGATTTCGTTTGCCCTCCCCCCTACAGAGCTATGTTGCTCGTGATTGAGTTGAAATTGTGTAGCACAACGCTTGAAATGACTGTCAACATTGTTTTGAAGGGGGAGGGAGGGGAGGACGAGCTCCTGATGGTATGAATTTGTTGATTTTATAAATAAATATGCAAGTCTCAATATATTTTGTGAAGGATGTCGGTTGGGTCATTGTAATCGAAACCTGCCTAGACGGTTCCCACAAGCCTGAGCGCGTTTCTGTTTTCCAGGCCAAGACGACGCACTTTTCCAAGCCAAGATGACGCAAATAAAATTGATTGAAGATGATTGATGATTGTCTACCAACTACCATTGAACCATGTCCGAACAAATTCTATCTCCAGCACAACCACCCTCCTCACAAAAGCACTACTAAAGAGGATGTATTTCATCGGGGCGAATTTAAAGTTGTCTTGGCGGAAAACGTTTTCGCCCTGACCAAGAACGACAATAAACCTAGACTTTCGATAGATGATTGGAAGTTTGTCAACGTCATGGAACAAAACATGGGAAAGAATCAATCGGAAACTGAACATCGGCGCTACCATTCAGGAATCCAGTAGAATAATTGCCGAACAATCGTTAGACAGCCAGTAAGTGTTTTAAGACGACGTGTCGAACACTCGAACGGAGGCCGGAATTAAAGCAGCATTATCTCGAGTTTATGAAGCGAATTCTGGAGAAAGAGCTTGCTGAACCTGTCCCTGGAGAAGACCTAGCATCAAGTAAACCGTGTTGGTACCTGCCCCACTTCGGCGAATATCACCCGCAAAAACCTGGGAAGATAAGAGTAGTGGTCGATTCAGCGGCGGAAACAGAAGGAGTCTCTTTGAACAAATTACTACTATCGGGTCCTGATCTTACGAACCGTTTATTAGGCGTATAATTGCGTTTTCGACAGAACCCAGTCGCAGTTACGGCGGATATGGAGCAGATGTTTTATTCATTTTCCGGTAATGAAGAACATAGAGACTTTCTACGTTTTTTATGGTTTCGAAATAACGATCCACAGGATGAAGTTATCGGTTACAGAATGAAAGTGCATCTTTTTGGGAATACTTCCTCGCCGGCAGTGGCCACGCTTGGCTTGAAGAAAACGGCGAAAGGGGAAGAGCACAAGTTTGAGCAAGATACCAAAGAATTTGTGGATGAAAACATTTATTTGGCAATGGTCTAATTCCGTTACCTGACAGTGAGCAAGCGGTTGGTTTGCTGCAGCGAACGCAAGCTATGTTCGCCACCGCCAATCTACGCGTACACAAAATTGCCTCGAACAATCCCAAGGTGTCGGAAGCCTTTCCATCCGAAGACAGATCAACCAGCCTTCAAACCCTTGATATGTGCAAAGATACCATACCTGTTCAGAGATCTTTGGGCGCATGCTGGGATCTGAATACTGATTGCTTCACTTTCTGCGTCAACACTGCTGACAAGTAATTCATTAAGCGTGGTGTATTGTCGGTAACGAACAGTTTGTATGATCCGCTGGGCCTGACAGCACCGGTGACGATCTTCTCAGAGATATGACAAGAGAGTGAGATCAACCGCTTCCGGAAGAATTGGAGCCAGTCTGGAACAACTTGTGTGACTTCCTTACTAACCTGCAACAACTCCATGTTCCCCGCGCCTACTCGACAACCCCAATGGACGAAGGGAATTGCGATCTCCATATCTTTTGCGATGCTTCCACAAGTGGAATCGCATAGGTCGCGTACTCGAAGGTGGTTCGTTCTCGGGAAAGCTAAGTTGGTCCCTCTACACGCGACCTCAATACCCCGCATGGACCTTTGTGTTGTTGTCCTGGCAGTAGAATTAGCTGACTTCATTTGAGAAGAACAAGTAGTAAAGGCTGACTGGGTATCGTTCTACTCTGACGGCAAGGTGGTACGTATTGGGCTATATTGCCAACGAAACGCGCCGATTTCATGTCTACGTCGGTAATTGCGTGGAGCGGATAAGAAGGTCATCCTCCTTTGAACAGTGTCATTACGTATCTACTAATTGCAACCCCGCCGACCTAGGAACTCGCTCGGTGGATGCAAGTGTTCTCCAAGATTCTGTTTGGATTACAGGTCCACAAAATCCTTCATCATGTTAGTCCTCCGGAAGACGTCCAAACCTGCCGCGAAGCCAAGGAAGTTTGCTCAACAACGGATCCCGAGATCAGACACGCAGTTTCCGTCAAGAAGTCCGAAGTACGAACGAGTGGTACACTCGGAACGGAACGATTTTCGAGATTTTCGAAATGGTTTACTTTGGAGAGCGCACTTTCACAACTGATAAAGTTTATAAGGTCTCGTCGAGCCAGGATTCCCATCTCTTCCCGCCTGGCAAAAAGTAGTCCAAAATCGCCAGAGGTGTTGCAACTTTTTAATTTTCATCCTGATTGTACGAAATTTTCCATAAATATAGAACATATCATTCTTACAAATCGTGTCGTTTTTGTTTTTGGATTTTTTATTTTTTGGCGGGAAAATGACATCACAAACTTGGCCCCCAAAACTTAAAAATTAGCAATGACTAATATTATTTATTTATTTGGAAGACCATGCTGTAGCAATCTTGAAACTGAAGCCTGTTTCGAAGTACGAATCCGCCATTTTGTTCTTTTTTAGTAACAAAATTGTCGATTTTTCGAACTTTGAACCAGTCTATCTTTGTAGCAAATTGTCGCATTTTGAAACAGACTTGGTGTGTTCATGAATCTCTTGAAGGCGTGTCGTTACGAAACGATGAAATCTTCGACTCTCGTTATATATGTACTGCAGCACGGTGGTAGAATCTGTCCAGAATATAATATTGTCGAACTTCCAGTCGAACGGATAAGGTTGCTGAGACGCACCGCCATGACACTCGCCAAAAGCTCTAATCTCGGAATAGTTGGCCTTCTTATTGGAGAATTTGGACATTTTTCCATTACGAAACTGCAGTGAATCACACCTTGATCATCTGTGATTCGAACGTAGGCTGACGCAGAATATCCCACTTCACTAGCGTCGCTGAACATGTGAAGTTCAATACTTTCACGCGGGATCTTGGTTACAATATAGCATCGGGGAATTCTGATGTCAGAAATTGAAGAAGTGATTGAGGCCAATTTTGCCAAATTTCGAGCTGCTTCTCAGATATCTCTTCATCCTATCCAATTTCTTGGCGCCAGAGTTCCTGCAGAAGTATTTTAACAAGTAAAATGAAGGGCACCAGGAATCCCAGCGGGTCGAATAATGAGCTAATAACAGAGAGAATGCCGCGTTTGGTAGCGGGTTTGTCAGTTCTAATGGACAAAAAATAGAACTCATCTGTTTGAGCGTCCCAGGATAAGCCCAAGGCACGATTAATTGGTAGCTAATCTAAATCCAGATCAAGGGTAGGAGTAGCTCTTTCTTTGACTGGAATTGCTTTCAAGACATCCTTCCGATTGCTGAGAAACTTAGTTAAGCGAAAGCCACCTTCTGCGAGCATATCGATTAGTTTCAGTGCTAGGTCAATTGCCTCTTCGTCTGTAGCAGTGGATTTCAACAAATCGTCCACGTAGAAATTACGCCGCACCACTTCAGCTACGTCTTTACCATATTTCAACTCGTTATCGTCAGCTGTCTGTAATAGTGCTTTGTTAGCGCAACATGGCGAAGACTTGGCACCAAAGATGTGAACCAGCATTTTGTATTCCTCTAAGGCAGTCGTTATTCCACAACAAGAAACGGAGAGCATCACAATCTTCGGGTTGAACCTTTACCTGGTGGAACATAGCCTCTATTAGAGCAACTGCGAACTGTCTGAAACGGATTAGGACACCCACCAGATTGTTCATCAGGTCAGGACCTTGAAGAAGTTGGTCATTAAGTGATGTGTCGTTGAACGTCGAAGCGGCGTCCAAGACAACACGCACTTTCTCTGGTTTACGAGGGTTTATCACCGGGTGATGAGGAAGATACAAGGTTTTTATTCATTCTTCCATAGTAGGCCCATTTGATAGTGACTGTCAACTTTGGTTAGAGTCTTCTTTATCACTTTCCACGCTTGTTTATCTTGGACTGACATGGTCTTCGAATTATCACCGGAGGTTCCGAGTGACACCAGTTTCCAAAATGACTCCAATTGCTGGTTAAGGGTGATATCGCTGGAGACACATACGTTATGAACCGCGGATGTATACGTTGTGGAACACTGAGCTTCAATTTCTTTACCCATTCGACCAAAGACTGAGTAACCCAGGCAGGATCGTATGGCCACTGGGGAGTCTGGCCCATCGTACCATACATCGATCGGGATAAATGCTTCAGGCATGTCCGTCCCAATGATAATGGAAATCTTTTCTCTCTCGACATTAGGGAAGGGTACATTCTGGAGATGAAGCCAACGTAACTTGTCCTTGAAAATACGCTGATGACGCAATGGTATCAATAATTCTTTACTGCTCCAAGCATTAGTTGTTTCAAACGCTTCGGGTTTTCATCGATAAGAGATTCCACTGATAGATTTATGCGATAGCCGTGTTGTACAACATTCTCTTGACACCACTAGTTTATCGAGATGCCCTTGTGCTCCTACTTGTTTAACCAATGACGGGTCTACTAGAGTGATTTCCGAGCCCGAGTCCAACATTGCGTATGTGGTCGCGACTTGCCGTTCTCCAATAACACGCACAGGAATTACTCTTAGAAGTACAGCATGATGTTCTTTCGATGTGGCTGTGCTGCTGGTAACAGTTTGGAGCTCGATATTCTTGTCCTTCTCTTCAGCCGTCTCCTTTAAAGGTTCTGGTTTATGTAACAAAGTGTGGCGCGATGCTCCACGCCCTTCGATTTTGCATTTAAATTTGCTAAGGCAAGACCTGGCAGCATGTTTCACTGTTCTACCAAGTTGGTCCTGGTTTCTCTTTAGACAATTGCAGCAGAGGTTTTTCCTCTTAGCCAGCTCGAACATTTTACCAGGGGTTTTACCTTTGAACAGTTCACAACGATATATTGGATGAGCTTGAGAACAACAAGGACAGGGTGTACTGACTTTGGCTGACTTGTAAATATTTCTGCTGTCGTCTCCTTGGACGCCCATAGCACACGCCATCTTTGCACCATATTTCATCTTTCCCTTGGCTAGTCCTGGTACTTCTTGTTGATCGGTATTGCTTGCGTTTATCGGGTGATTGGCAATGTTTGCCAACTTGTCGAGCAAGCTTGCAATGTCGTTCAATGTAGGAAACCGGTCTTCTTTCGCTTCTAGATCGCAAGCTACAACTGCAAATCTTTCCCGAAGATATTTTGGCAGTCGACGTAACATTTCCACCAGATTTCCTTGGTTAACTTCATTCAAGCAGCACAATTATTTTAGAGTTGCATTGGCGCTAGCAGCTTCGTCTGCGAACCTTCGTAAGGCGGTCCTGTCCCTACTTGGTATAGCTGGGCCCTTTGTCAAACCGTCTAGTATCGAGTTAACGATCAAACACCTTTTTCCATATCTCTTTTCCAAAATCTTCATTGCATTATGCACACCGCCTTTGACTGATTCGAAACTTTTCACTGCTTCCTTGGCTTCACCACAAAGGAACTGTAATAAACGCAACATTTTTTCACTGTCGCTGAAATCGTGTCTTGACATATACGATTCTCAAATCTTTGTTTAAACATCGGGAATTCACTTGGTGAACCAGAGAACATCTCAAGGTGTACAGGAGGCAAGTTTAGGTTTGATTACAATCTTTGTTGCACCAAGGATATTCTTTCCATAGCTGATGCCACGGTGTGCAAGAGGTCTGCATCGTGGGCTGATTTCACTTGGTTTGGATATGGTGGTGGTTTCATAGGAACAAGGTTAGGTTTACGCTCAGATATGGGACCCGTCTCTTTTGTATCGACTTCGGGTGGTTTACTACGCGCAGAGTTGAAATCCTGGTCACTAATTTTACTAGGGGAAGACAACGTGGCAGGTGGTATTACTGGAGTGGGACGTCTTACCGTTGGATGTTGGAATCCATAGGGAAAGGTTAAAGGCTGTGAAGAAGGTCGCGTGTAAATTGGTGTTGTATTATGCCAATATCTTGTGTTGTCAACTGTTCTTGGTTGATCTCGCCGTCGGTAGTAGGGAATTCGAGTCTTCCATACGTATGGTGGGTTTGACGGAATTCTCCGAGGTTGCGTTGCACCTGAACGACTTGGTACATTAGGGTAGGAAGGAACTTGAGTCCACCATGCGTATTCAGGGGCAAGTGTTCTCCAAGGCTCCAGCCATATTACATCTGGTTGAGTCGGTTCGTTAGCTGTAGCTGGCGTTGAGGAAAATGGGTTGCCTTCGTGTTGTGGATCGCTATTAAATACCGATGGATACGTTTTATCAGTTCTGGAGGAATATGTTGTTGCCATGTCCGTCGTAACCTTGTCTGGATTCTGGACTTCGTGTAAATGGGTATGTGAAATTACTTGTGCAGGTGCAGAAGAGATTCGTCCCCCGATTTCTGACTCCAGTTCCATGTCGACTTCTAGTAGGTCATAGCTATCGAATTGCTCCTGCAGCTCTGCTTCCAAATTCGGGAGAGCAGCTTGTTGGCGAGCTTCAGCGAGCTCTCTATCGGTTTCTTGTTTTAAGGTTTCTATTCTTCTCGTCCTTTCAAGTTCTTCTTCATCCAATTTCTGTTGCATTTCGAATTCTCTTTGCTTTCTTTCTGAAGCCTAAATTCCCTTTTGAGAACTCGATGTCGTTCAACTTCAGCCAGACGTAAAGCCAACTTTGCTTTAGCTGCTTGCACCCTTTTCTCTTGCGTTGATGATCGTGAGGACTGACTCGATGCCTTTGATATACTTGACCTATTTGAAGTTACACTTTCTGCATACACCTGCTATTTCTGTTTTGTACTTAGCGCTACATTTGGGGAAACATAGTTTACAGGGTTCTCTTCACAGTTTTGTAGGTATTTTGATACACGATTTGAAAATATAGCCTTCTCTGTATACAATTAGCCTTTCTCACACCGCCATTTTTGGGTGGCTTTTCTGCCGAAGTCTGCGAGTTAAGTCCACATAACAGCGACTTTTTATAATTTTTGGACAAATGATGGTAAATGGGATTTTGGACAAATGATGGTTTTTTCAGAAACTGCTTTTCACATTGTTTTAATTGTCTGCATTGGTTAAGAAGAATTAGATGCCACCCAAAAATGGCAGATATTTGTCATCATGAGAAAGGCTAATTGGTTATACTGTTGAACGGCGTCGGAAAACGCTAAACTATGCGGGCTAATCAATGATAAATAACCGTTGTGTGCGTCTTCAAATTTACGCCATGCATCATCATATCGCTGCAATTGTATTTGAACCGTCTGTGCGTTCTCTACATTTGACAAAAGGATTTCAATTTGTCCTCGGACACGAGTAATGGCTCCGAGAAACCCAGCTCTCGATCTTTTGGATGAAAAGATTCTTTCATTTAGTATAGCATCGTTAAATTGTAGACCACATTGCGACGGTGGTTCTTGAAAGTTTATATCATCAGAATTCATAATTCGCTAACGTGCGTTCAAGTTTGATAGTTTAATTTAAAAAATGTCGTACACTCACAGACAGTTCAAATTCGCTAAGGCACCAATAAATCTGCAATCTCTCATACCTGATATGCCAGCGAGCTTACTTGTAGGTAAATCAAACGTACACCAAGGAAACGGTTCTTGTGAGTTCGATTCCTCTCAGCTTGATTCTTGAATTTTTTCGATCGATAAATTCATTTGAATTAAACCATGTACGGGCACGGCCTGCACTCTTTGTCTTGGAGACTATTTGCGACAATTCCTTGACATCAATGTTACTATATACTGCATGACCACTAAAGCTTAATTCTAGCAAAAACAAATAAGTTTTTACAACAATACCCAAATAACTAAATCCGTTTAAACTTACAATAAATACGAAATAAATGCAATAGAAGATATCTACTCACCAAATGTCAAGGAACATACGATAGTCTAACAATATAAATAATTAAACGTTAATTATTAACTTGTTCAAAGAAGTCTTAGCAAAGCTGTTGTCGCACCCTCGGTTGAACTTTGCACTATTCCTTCGAGAGGTCAAAAGTCCACGCTTTCTTGTCCAAAATATGAATGTCATTAATATAATTAGTATATATAATTATGAATACTATTAATTGTAACACCGCCGTGCTATAGTGTTGAGGGCGCCTCAACAATATTGATATCCTAAAAAAATGATATCCTAAGATATTGATATCCTAAGATACTGGATGATATCCTAAGATATTGATAACCTAATAAGATATTGAAATCCTAAGATATTGATATCCTAAGATATTGATATCCTAAGATAATGATATCCTAAGATATTGTATGATAATCTAAGATATTGTATGATATCCTGAGGTACTGGATGATATCCTAAAATACTGGATGATATCCTAAGATAGTGAATGTTATTCTAAGATATTGATATCCTAAGATATTGTATGATATTTTAAGATATTACATGATATCCTAAGACACTGTATGATATCCTAAGATACTGTATGATATCTTAGGATATCAATATCTATCTTAGGATATCAATATCTATCCTGAGATATTGTATGATATCCTAAGATATTCTATGATATCCTAAGATACTGTATGATATCCTGGGATATTGATATCCTAAGATATTAATATCCTTAGATGTTGATATCCTAAGATATTGATATCCTAAGATATTGATATCATAAGATATTGATATCCTAAGATATTGTATGATATCCTAAGATACTGGATGATATTCTAAGATATTGTATAATATCCTAAGATATTGATATCTTAAGATGCTGGATGATATCCTAAGATACTGTATGATATCCTATGATATTGATATCCTAAGATATTGATATCCTAAGGTATTGATATCCTAAGGTATTGATATCTTTTATTTATTTTTTATTTTTTATTTTAAAAATTTTCCCCATGTACAATAAATTTATGTGTTGTTGCAATATTCATAAAAACAATTAAAAAAATATTTGCATGCATATATAATTAGTTAGTAGCCTATTTAAGCCAAGTAAACATTTCGTATATAGGTTTTTTATTAGTTAGCTAAATATATCGAAGTATGTTGTAGTTGGTTTGTGTGCTTTCTGTCATATAACAAAACATGGTGTCAGGAGTGGGATAGTGACAACCACAGAAGCTGCAAATATGTCTGATACTGAAGAGATGGAAAATCTAAACGGGCCAGAGTCAAGTACAATGCCAAAGGGCAAGATACAACAAACGACACAAGCTTCGGTGTCTATACCGATAATTCCAACAGGAATTTCTGCTCCTAAACCACTGTTGATGGAAGGAAACATGGCAGCAAATTGGAAGAAATTTCGCCGAGGATGGGAGAACTATGCAATTATTTCTCGGCTCGAACAATTCGACGAACGTTTCAAGACGGCGTTGTTTTTGTCAGTAATTGGCGACGGGGCGATGGAAGTTTATGAAGGAATGCATTTCTCAGATAGCGATGACAAGCAGAAGCTAAATAAAGTTATCGAACAATTTCAAACCACATTTATCGGCGAGACCAATGAAACCTATGAACGGTTTATATTTAATAGTCGCGATCAGAAAGAAGGAGAAACAATCGAGCAATATATTAATTATTGTGTTGAGAACTTTGGCACAATCGTGTAACTTTTGTACTTGTCTGAAAGAAACCCTGTTGCGAGATAGGGTTGTTTTGGGTGTTAAAGACAATTCTGTTCGAAAGAAACTCCTACAAGAACGAAAGTTAACGTAGCAAAGGCCCTAGATATTTGTCGAAGCAGTGAGACGACTTCCAAGCAATTGCGAAATATGATAAGCCTTAATGAGAAGTCAATCGACCATGAAATCAAAGCAATTAGAGAACAATGTCAAGGAAATCGGCGTGGTGACCCTTCAAAATCCCGCGAGAAAAAGCGTTGCAAATATTGCGGGGGAATGCATGAATTTGATAAGAATTCCTGCCCAGCATATGGAAAGTCGTGTAAGAACTGTGGTTTTCGCAATCATTTCTCAAGGGTTTGCCAGAAGAAACGGAATAAAACTACACGATCGGTCAAGGAGATTACCAGA